TATCCAAGTATCTTGTTTGTTCAGTTAATACAAAATAATAAAATGTATTGATTTTTCTATTAAAGGTTTTATATTTTACTTTTATCAATAATTTAAAAAGAAACTTAAATATTTTAGTCGGATTTTTATTATGAAAATGTTGTTTTTGCGTAGTCAAGTTATGCGTCAATGAATTTAAAATTAGTGTAACCCAATTATTTGTATTTTGTTGTCCGGTAATGAAATTAGAATACTTGGCATTTAATATTCGTATAAAAAAGATATTCTATTTGCTTTTTTAATATTTACGTCTTAGGTTCGGTGTTATCGTGTATGATTTGAATACGTATGGTTTATGGATAATGTTTAATTTATTATTATTATCTTCATTCATTAATTTGATTAAAGTGAGATACTTTGCTATATTTTTTTATTGTAATTCATGTTAAATAATATTGTGATTTCAAATACAATGCTAGGTATTTAATATTGTTAAAAATGACAAATTAATATGTGATACATGAATTATTTAAATTTAAATTATTAAAACAAGATGTTCCATTATTTTAAATTCGACTGCACAAGAAAAAAGTAAACACCAAAATTATTGAGATTAGTGTAGCGAATAGAAACTCATGAGYGATAAACAAAGAGATGGACAATCAAAAATAGACGTGACAACCCGAGAAAGGTCATATTCCAATGGTCATACACCAAGATAATATAAATAATAATATATTATAAGACAAAAAGAATAAATCATTGTATTCAAAAACGACTTCGATTAGATCTGAGCTAATATTATAATCTCTACTAAGTACTATTGTACTTGCTTATATTTTTCAATTTTTGGTTCCTAGTTCAACTTAATTTTACAGAGACAACAATCACAACTTAAATGATTTCTTATCTCTGAAAATACAGCATGACACTTTTGGAGCATTTCCACTACCCAAACAAATGCCTATCGGAAAAAAAAATATTTTTAAAATATAATTAATTTACATTTTAACATTACTTTTTTTATAATCCATAGTTATACTCAAGTTTATATATATTGTATTACAGGGGTCACCTAATGGCGGATAGGACAATCATTATAAATAGTACAAAAAAATTCGAAATTTTACCATGATGTGTATTTTAGATTCTGAACGAAGTGATGAATGTATTGATTATACAATTATGTGTGTTTTTTTTTGTG